AAAGCTGAGCTATAATCCTATCTGAGAAATGTTGAATGGGTTTAAAATAAAAATTTCGGAATGTGGACTCTGTAGACCAATCTGCGGCTTTAAGATGTCTTCCAATCGACATCCTACTACCGATGCTTTGGAGGCCATAGCGCCCCTGACAGAGTGTGGTGTGAAGACCGTGACATCTATCCCGGCTGATGTTAACAGCCACTTGATCCAACGGGCGAGAGTAGGTGTAGTTACAGGGAGATGTGGTTTCTTCAGAGAAATGAACAAAGGGCCGTCATTAGCTGAACGTAGAGTGGAAGTGCGAGATTCGTATTCCTTCAAGCACAGTATCGGGCATAGACTCGGCTGATCCGGGATCCTCGGATAAAAAACCTGTTTAGTCGATGATTTCGTTCTCCGTGAGATATCGAAAGACACTCCCTCCGGAGTGAACACACGGGCTTGCCAGTCCAAGGCCCTTACGTCAGATACCCGCTTACAGGATAGTAAACAGAATAGCATGAGTAATTTAGCCGACAATTGTTTTAATGACAATTCTGCGTTGGAGGGCCATTCTGCTAGGAGCTTGAAAACTATGTTGACGTCCCAAAAGGATCCATATCTAGGTTTAGGCGGACGTGAGAAGCGTATACCTTTGAGCAGGCGACAGACCAATTGATTCTGCCCGATTGGTAGGCCGTCCACGAGATCATGACCAGCCGAGATGGCAGATCGAAACATGTTGACGGTACGAAAGGCTTTTCCCGATTCGAACAAGTGTGTCAGGAAATCCAGAACCGTTTTCACAGAGGTTGATACGGGATCCACCGATCTTTCCAGGCACCAATTGGCCCATGTCTTCCATGCCGCAGTATATGCCCGTCGAGTTCCTGGTGCCCAAGCATTTGCCAGGAGTTGGGTAGTCGTTCTCGAAACTTCCGAGATTTCCCAAGGTCCCCGGAAAGGAGCCACGCCATCAGTCGAAGGAGTCCTTGTTCCACCATGTTGTGGTTCTCCCCTTCCGGATTGGTCAGCAGTGAGGGTTGGTCCGGTAACAGCCGTGGGCAATCGATCGCCATTTCCAGCAGGTGGGGAAACCAAGGTTGAGATCTCCAGCATGGTGTTATCAGAACCAAAGTGCTCCTGCAGCGTCGGACGTACGCCAGAGTTCGGGCAATCAGGTTGAATGGAGGGAAGGCATATGCTCGTCCCTTGGTCCAGTCCTGGAGAAAGGCATCCGTAGCCATGGCTTCTGGATCGGGTCGCCAACTGTAAAACTGAGGAAGTTGGGTGTTCAGTCTTGAAGCAAAAAGATCCACATTCAAAGGACCCCATAACTGATTGATCTTGTAGAATATCATCGGTTGAAGCCTCCAATCCCCCATGTCTCGCAGATATCGGGAGTTCCAGTCCGCGGTGTAATTGTCCAATCCCGGTATGTGTTCCGCGGTTACGGACACCTTGTTCTGCAAGCAAAATTGCCAGAAGTCTCGAGCCAAAATAGCTAAGATGCGTGACTTGGTACCTCCCAGATGGTTTATGTATCTGACTGCCGAGACGTTGTCCAACTTGAGAAGGATCGAGCATGAAATTCCCTTGGGTGAGAGGCTGCGGATGGCAAAGGAGGCTGCCAGCAGTTCCAGTGAATTTATGTGCAGAAATGATTCGTTTACCGACCATCTGCCTCCTGTGGATATAGAGCCGCAACGCGCGCCCCAGCCATGTAAGCTTGCGTCCGACTCTATCACTAGGTCCGGGGTGGAACCGAAGATTGCTCGTCCGTTCCACGCTTCCATGTGAGTCAACCACCATTTCAGTTCTTCCCTGGACTCTACGTCCAAGGAGACGGTGGACTCGTATGACTGACTGTTCCTCAAGCAGGTTGCTTTCAGACGTTGAAGCGCCCGGTAGTGCAATGGTCCCGGGAAAATCGCTTGGATGGAGGCAGCTAGTAAGCCGATCATCCGTGCTAGTTGTCTCAGTGAAATGTCCGGCCGGTTCAATAACCGCCTTATTTCCTTTTTGATGATGGAAATCTTTTCTGTTGGGAGGCATAGGATTTGTTGAACAGAATCGACTCGAAATCCTAGGAATTCCATCTGCTGAGAGGGTTGTAGCACCGACTTCTCCCAATTCACCAGGAAACCGAGGTTTTGGAGGAGGTGAAGGGTCCATGATAGGTGTGTTAGTAATAGTGAGCGTGTACTCGAGAGTATGAGGATATCGTCCAGATATATAATCAGACGAACTCCGTGTAACCTGAGAAAGGCAACCACCGGTTTCAGTACCTTGGTGAAGCACCAAGGGGCGGAGGACAGTCCGAAAGGAAGGCAGGTGAAACGCCATTTCCTTGCTTCCCATCGGAATTGTAACAGATCCCTGTGATCTGCCGCTATCGGTATCGTGAGGTATGCATCCTGCAAATCGAGTTTTACCATCCAATCTCCCGGGAGGAGCAAATCTCGGAGGCAGTGAATGCCCTCCATTTTGAAGTGCCTGTACTGGACGAAGGCATTGAGGGCCGCAGGTTGATAACCGGACGGACCCCCCCTCCTTTTTTCGGCACTAAGAATAGATTGCTTACAAAACCTGGTGTATGTAGAGGGATCTCCTCTATAGCGTTTTTGGACTGCAGTACCTTGATCTCTGCGGTTATGAGGTCGTGGTGTGACTTTGGTAAATGAGGCACGTGAGGTGGGGAGACCCGAGAGGGAAGATCTGTCAATTCTAGGTGGTAACCCATTATCGTCTGTAACACCCATACATCGGCTGTGATCAAGCGCCACGCTTGGTGGAACAACGCCAGTCTGCCCCCCACATTTATATGTGAAAAATGGGGAAAAATAGCACTTACCATAAGGGCGTTTTCCTGGGGGTGTTCCTCTGCCGCCGCGGGCATGCCAAGGTCTTCCTCGAGTGGGGAAGAATGGTGTATAGGCACGCTCCTGATACAGTCTTTGGGTGTTGGAGGAGCCTCTGCCCGGTCTGGAGAAACCTCGGGAATTGCGGCCGGATAGACGGCTCTTACCTCTACCGGCCCCGCCGAAAACCTTTTGGCTAAAGACTCGTTTGATGGACGATTGAGCTTTGTCCAGGGCCGTGAAGGTCTTCACGTATGAGCCCAAATCCTTAACAAAGGACTCACCGAACAACAGTCCTTTAGCTGAAGCCCCAGGTTCAGTGGAAGCCATGCTAGCTAGCTTAGGCTCGATCTTGAGCAGGATAGCTTTCCTGCGTTCAGTAGATATGGCTGTGTTAGCGTTCCCGATCATACACACGATTCGTTGAAGCCAGCCAAATGCAACTTCAAAATCCAGGTCAGTCTCACCTGACTGGGCTGCCTCTAGTAGCTCATATAATTTTGTGACCGGGCCCAGTGTGTCCAGGAACTTGTCCTGACAGTTGCGGAGAGAATAGTCAAGTCCTCTCTTAGGCTTCCAGCCGGTTTTAGCCAGGAATTGGACTATCTGAGGGTCCACTTCGGGGGTCTTAGCCACCGCATCTGGCACAATGGGACGTGGGCATTCTGCCCTTAATTTATTGCGACCCTCTTGGGAGAGGGACTTACGCACTCTGAGTGCTAGGTACTGAGCGATATGCTCTGGGGGCTCCCATTCAGCGGAGCGTGGATGTCTTAGGTTATCCGGATCAAATGAAAGTACCTCTTTAGCATCGTGGGTAGCGTCAGACCCGGGCGTCTCTAGCTGAGTCTCTGCATGAGCTGGCGCTGACGGGAACTGTTTCCCTTGGAGGCTCTCGCTCTCTGAAAACTCATCCTCGTAAGGATCAGAGTATTGGACATCCGACCCCTCATCCCCTTCATTGTCTGAGTCAGACATGGTATCATGGGCCCGCGCCCGTTTCCAATCTCTGGCCGCCGTAGCCCGGCCAGTAGCTCTACTGCGCGGTTGTTGCGCGCCATCACAGACAGCCTGAGGCGTGTCAATCAATGCAGGACGAACCTGCGTGGGGGGGGGTTCTTGAGGATGTTTGCGCTTGCTAAGCGCCTTGCGCCCTAGTAACGCCCCTTCAGGGGCTGCCTGCGGTACCGCAGGGGCAGAGAGAGGATGGGCCTGTCGGAGAGCCTGGGTAATAGATTGGGAAATGGTCGAGGACATGGCCCCCATGGCTGATGAAATGGCCTTGGTGATAGAGCTGGACATAGTGGCGTCCAATAGGCTCTGGAAGTCCTCCGAGCCCATGAGGCTAGGGTCAGCCTGTGGGTCAGGGCCAGATGTGCGCCCAGAGGGACTAAGGTGGCTAGGGGTAGCATCACCAGCAGACTGCATGGTGAGACAGTGAGTGCAAGTGAGGAAAAACAAGAAAAAAGTGACAGGCAGGGTTGATTAACCCAATACAGGAGAGATAAGGCAGTAGGTCAGAGAG